TTTCCAATTGCTTAAATTGGAAAATTTACTGCGATGATCATTCCTCACTATCAATACTTTATATATACTTAGCCTCGTACTTACGTTTCAAGACAAAGGATTTTACACATGAATGTGAGGCTTAGGATGTTTAGGTATTCAAAGTTAGGCGCTATTTACGAAAAGGTGGTCTGTTGTTCCAAGGCAATTAATTCAACAGTTAATGATTATCAGCCGGTGTATAGAGCTCAAATAGACCTTTTTACCAATGCGGTGGCTATTTTGAATTCAATTGTTTCAAATAGCTATTATGGGACGCTCAGATGGGTGAATTAGTATGCGTTTGTCCCCTAAGCATCCCATGATAGCTATTTGAAACAATGCTGTTCAAAATGGCCGCCGTATCAGTAAAAAGATCCATTCCCCCATTAGGTCAATAAACCAATATTTACATTTATCCAAAAGGGAGGGGGGAGGAGAGGGGGAACNGGGGGACTTGCCACCTGAAATAACTACAGAGATAAAGAAGGTAGGTAGTTATGGATTTCGTTTCTAAAAGTATAAGACAAACCTCCACAGTTATGGCCTGTAAACTCCATGGGGCAGTCACAAGTATAGTTATCCGAGAGATTGTGACATGTTCCATTATTTTTGCAAGGACTGTTGTAGCAATGGTCCATGACTGAAGACAAAAAAAACAAAAAAACAAAAAAACAAAAAACAAGTGTTGCATCAAATAAAGTGTCCACGACAACATTATGCATTTTCTTTCCTTTTTCGGTTACAAATGCTACCAAAAATAAACAGAGAACAAAATAAGTCAAGAAAGAAGGGGTGGATGCGATTTCTGAAAATATTGTGATTACTAACTAACTAGCCTACAACTGGCGAAGTAGCGAAGAACATGACCTGGGCATATTGATTGAGATCTCAGAACGCTGAGAAAAAGTGGAAGATCCGAATAACTGTCAGGTCCCAAAGTAACCTGTTTAGTAGCCATACGTTATTAAGGCGTCTTTCCCCTAAAATACGACTACAGCATTTGTCTGTTGTGTTTGTTTGATTTTCAGTCTAATGATTTTCGTACAACTTCCATATCGCTACAATGGTTCGCCACTAAGGTCAATTTGTGAGAGCTTGTAGGGAGCTTGTGAGAGCTTGTGGAGATTTTATTCAGGTTAAACATATTTAATAATTACAAGATTGTTTTAACACAATTATTTTATAAACTATCAAGAAATCCCGAAGAATGAAAGTGTTAAAGAGAGGAGCAGTATGGGGAGATGGCCAAATTTATTCTTCGAACTGAATTTTGTAAGTGTCAGACGAACCTTCACAGTTCTGTCCTGTAAATTGATCAGGACAGTCACATGTGTAGTTATCCGAGAGACTAAGGCATGTTCCATTATTTTGGCAAGGTGAGTTGACGCAATAATTGATCACTGAAAGAAAAAAAAAAGAGATTTCCATCTACATTTAACACAGTCTGAGTTAATCGCCAAAGATTGTTTCGAGATCAGAATTTCCTTTGAAAATGTCCTTCTGCTTATCTGTGCTGCTGCAATTATTGTTGCCACAGTGTTGAAAAACAAACAAACAAACAAACAAGCAAAAGAAAGCATAAAAAAAATGAAAAGAAAAAAGAAAAAAAAAAGAAAAACTTTTTGCTAACCTTCGCAGTTTAGCCCTGAGAACCCTGCAGAACAGTCACATGTGTAGTTGTCTGCAAGATTACGACAGGTTCCGCTGTTTTGGCAGGGAATGCTTTGGCAATGATTCCTTGCTGCAAGAGAACGAATGATCACTACTTTGAGGGTTTATTATATCTCATTATCGCCATAAGTTAGAGTGAAAAAAACAAAACAAAACAAAAACAAAAACAAAAAAACAAACAAACAAAAAAAACAGATGAATTAGATGAGCAACGCAACAATTTAGTAACAGACAGACCTTCACAATTTTGTCCTATAAATTCTGCGTGACAAGTACAAGTGTAGTTTTCCAAATGGTTGTGACATGTTCCATTATTCTGGCAAGGACTATCATAGCAATGGTTTATCACTTAAAAAAGAAGTACAATCAAAGCTAGTGAGTATGACTTTGAAGGGTTAAAAGTAAAAAAAAAAA